CTAGCAGAATGTGTTTGGTTCAGCCATTTAATTTAGCTGCATAATTGAGAAAGTAGGATTGTTAGTGCCTGCCTCACCAGGTTTAAATAAAATGGTGCTTTTTTTCCTTCCAGTATCACTAATGTAAATACTTTTCGAAATCTCATAGACTCAAGGAAGAGAAAGGGGAAAATAGAGATCCTGTCTCAGGCCATAGAGGTGATTTGCTCCAGTCAGAGCTACCAGCCAGGTTTCTTGAATCTCATCTGGTATATTTACCCTTGTATTTGACATGTTCATCTTTCCATCTTTCTTCATTCACATGCAGTTATGTATAACTTCATATGACAGCGAATTCAGTACGTGTATAAATTAACTTCTGGACACAATATAAGCTTCAGTTTAGGGAGGAGAGGTCTGGGCTTGCTCCTCCTGTATCCCTGGTGCCCAGCCTAGTTAGTGCCTGACACTCTCAAGGACCTTCGTGAGAATAATCCATTCTAGAGAAAAAAGACACTTAAAAGTGAATCCAGTTAAAACTGAAAAATATCACTGAAAAGGCTTTGATTGGAACTTTATCTTGAAAAATGGAACCACAGGTTATGAAACTAAATTTACCTTATTTTGGACTTAGTAAAATTTAGATTATAATGAAAACTCCAAGCTAATTTGTAAAATACACAATTTTCTGGCAAGACTATGCCATAAACCAATATCTTTACTTCTTATTTGACATTTGCAGCAGGATCATAGAGTCTTTTTCCCCAAATATAGGTTTTTAAAATTAATATTTGAAGATGTCATCAGTTCTTCCAGCAGCCCTTCTTAATCTAGAATGCAGTTATTTGAATAGAATTCTCTTTTCAGGTATTTGTTATGTCATGATCCTTGCTGTTTTTTAATTTTGTGATTGTTAGCAGTTTTTTAAATTGAGCTTAACCCTTAATTATCAGTGGCTTTATGTAATATTAGAATAGTTCTCCAACATCACTTTGGTTTACTTCTAGAAATTCTGTATCTTACATAAGAGTTTAAATTTCAGTCTGCAGGTGATTTGTATTTGCAGAGATTGAAGTATTAAAAACCAATCAACAGGAAATGATAGATATTAGTCTTAGGAAGGATGGCCCACTTCATACAGCCACATAGGTCATGCACTGCAAAACGTCAAGGGATGCCTGAAGGGAGAGAGGTGTGAGAGATGATTTAATTTTATTTACGGTTGGTTTATAAGTGATTGTTTTGATGTTATGGTAACATATGTTTTCCATACACAGGGATATATCTACAGGGACTCAGATAATCAATAATGTGGTCATGAGAAAACCCTTTCCCCCATGACTGGTGATTAATAAAAATTGTTGATTGAATCACTGAATATACCAGGTCTACTGTTCCTGTGTCATTTAATACTGAGTTCATCTCTCCAAGAGAATATCTAGAATTACAACACTTGTGAGACTATTAAATATAATAGTACAAAACACCTAACAAAGAATTTTTGGACACTTGGCTCTGTTTAAGACATATATTAGGCCCTACAGGATATATGAGGGTAAATTAGCCATGGTCAGTTATGAGGCTTACATCCAAGGGGTGATGAACATTAATAACTAAAACACAATGTTGATTTTCTGTAACAAATATATCAGCATTCACATTTTCAAAAGACTGTTGTCCCTTTTAATGCAGGTAATTTAGGAGTCGTCATTTATTTATTCATTCACTTCACTCAAATATTTATCAAGGGCTTAGTATGTGACAGGCGTTTTCTAAGTACAGGAATGCAGTCGTGAAGAAGACAGACAAGTATGAAATTTACATCTCATCGGAGGAGGCAATAAACCAACAGATTAATAAACCAGAAGAATAGATGATAGTAAGAATTCAGATAGTGTGGGGGGAGAACATAACGTGTCGGCGCCACCTGAGGTGGAGTGATCAGGGAAGACCTGTCTGCACAGGAGATGAGGAAGCTGTGATCAACCAGGTGCAGGTGAGGAGAGCTTTCCAGACTGGGAGCAGTCTGACGTGCTTAAGGAATGTCAGGGAGGCATGGGTGAGAGGGACTATGGTAAGGGATTGAAAGAGTTTGAGTTTTATTCTCAATTCAGTGAGAAGCCAAGTAGGGTAGTTAAGATGTTAAGGTTTACTTTGTTCGAAGATTACTCTGGCTACTGCGTGGAGAGTGGATTGAAGGGAGGCTAGTATAATATCAGAGAGACCAGTTAAGGGGCTGCGGCCACAGTCCGAGGTGAGAGATGGTGGGGTTTGGACCAGGGAAGTGGTACAAGAGATAGAAATGAGCAGATTGGACTATAGGGTTTTAGAAGTCAAGGTGACAGGACTTGGCTGCTGGATTAGAAGAGAGAGTTGAAGGAAACAGAAATCCAGAATAATTCCTAGATGTTTGGTTGAATAACTAGGGAGATGATGGTGCTACTTACTAATACAAAGAAACCTGGCAGGGAGTGAGGCTGGTGCAAGATGAAGGATGGGGCATTAGGAATTCTGATTTCACCGTGTTAAGGTGTCTGTTTAGCCATTCACATGGAGCTGTCAAGTAGGTGGTTGGATTAAAAAGTTGATCACCATTTTCCAATGAGAAGGTAAGAAATAAGACGAGGCTGTGTTTCAGGTTTGTAGCTGAAGTAATTAAAATGCCTCTTTTTATATTGATTTGAGAATTTAAGTTGCATGTACATATTTTTAAATCACATGATATGTTAATTTAAATGTATCGCTTTTTTCCTGTCTTACATTTTACAAAACAGTTTATTCAAATGCTTCCTGTACATTTTTCACATGCATGTCTGACATCAGTGTCTTTGGCACTACTGTGATTTTGGAGGTTATGTAAGCATTTCCCAAAGTATGTTCCCCTCATTTCTATCGAAGTTTTTGAGATACAGCATTATTTTAATATCAGTGTATGTTCTCATCACTGGAAATTTTGTCTCAAGCCATGGCATGCATTTATAAAACATTAGGCAATTATATTTTAAACGACTCTCTGCTAGAGGTATACACCGGAGATCTGTACAATATATTTACTGCATTGCTGTTTTAAAAACTTTTGTTTATTATTATTATTATTATTTTGGCCATGGTGCATGGCATGCAGGATCTTAGTTCCCCGACCAGGGATCAAACCCGTGCCCCTGGCAGTGGGGACGCAGAGTCTTGACCACTGGACCACCAGGGAAGTCCCTACATAGGTTTTTAAAGAGAGCTTTAAAATTTATAACTATATCTAACACTTGGAATTATGAGGTCATCCTGATAATAACTGTGTCATCTTTTTCTGACCCATTTCATTCTAGACCGGTGCCATTTCAGGGTAATATATATTTACCAAACAATAGAGTGTTGTTCAAACTAAAATAATTAAGGGAACATTCTGTAAGTGAAAGACTTAGTAGAGACTCTGAAAAAAGGCTAACTCTTCTTTGCCCCTTCTGGATCTTCTTTTTTCACTTAATAAATTGTGGTGACTCTTCATATCAGTATCCATGACCATTTTAAAATCTTTGTCTAGTGTTGCATTTATAAATGTGCCATGATGTGTTTTCCAGGCTTCTGTTTGTGGTATTAGGTTTCTTCTTATCTTTGCTGTAACAAACAGTACCACAGTAAATAAATACCCTGGTACTTCCTTTGCCACATGTGTAAAATCTGTGGAACAAAGGATAAATGCATTTTAAAACTTGTTAGATATTGCCTACTTGCCCTCTGAAGAGATGTTATCAATTTCTACCGCATCCAAAAGGATGAGAGAGTGTCTGTATCCCTACACTCTCCAAAATAGTACACTGTCAAGACTTTTTTTATCCTGGCTCTTTGGTGAAAATAATCAGTAAGTCATTGTAGAGTGGAGATTGCATTGCTCTTATAGGCCAGTTCTTTTAAATGTCCTCAATGGTAGCAAGTTTTTGTCTTTTGAAAGTAAATTTGAGTTTTGGAAAAAGTCAAGTCTAATGCATAAGATATATATGAAATTAGCAATTACTCTAGGTTTTTTGCGGTTTTATTTGCTTGTTTTGAGAGGAAGGCTCAGTGAAAAAGAAGATCTAACTTTCAGATAAAACTAATATTCTTATATGGCTTATGAAATTTTTTAGAAGTTAGTTTCAAAAGAAGAGTTCCAAAAATGTCTAAAGTAATGGCACCATCAGTTGCCATAAGATTATAGCTGCCCAAGAGGAATTATTTCAATTGAACAACAATCATTTGGATATATATGATCCAGTATATTTGTTTAAAAAAAATCACCCACTGTGAAGACTTTATCTCAGACAGGTTTCTTCATGGTGTGGCACATTAACAACATAAATAATTTAAGTTTTCTCGGACTGAATTTTTTATACTAGTTATGCTTACTTTTTTGTTTTCCTCCTTTATACAAGGAATAGATAATCTAGAAGAAGAGATCATTTTTACCATTATCTGAACAAACATTATCAGGATGATATTAATGGAAATCTACAATCTTTTTACTATATACAAGATCAAATTGTTTATATTTTTCATTTCCCTTTCTAAATCTAATGTATATATAGCAATATAGATAACAATTATCTAAAATTAAGCATATTAGCTAGCCAAATTCAGATAAATTTTTAAAAATATTTAACTTCAGAACAAGTTGTGTGTTTTAAATAGCAAATTAATTTCCATATCTATGTTTTCCTAAGACTATTGTTAAATTTAGTATCTTTTACTTTAATACAAATTGATTTTGAGAGGAGCAGACTTGACGCTTGATGTATGGTAAATCAGATATCTGAAAATACATGTATATAGGAGTCAGGCTTTATCAAAGTGTTCATTGAAGCAACTGTCCTCTACAGATTTTCAGAATAAAACTGTCTTAAATCTTGTTTTTATTTTCTATGACAGATTGAACCATTACTGCCTCAGTTTACCATGAGAGGATTTTGAGAAGCTTTCGGGGGTAGCAATATTTCAGGAGGGGTGTTCTTCCTTAAGTATTTACTGTGTCTACATGTTCTGTTCTGCAGAGAAATGGTCAATGCATGGTTTGCTGAGAGAGTTCACACCATCCCTGTGTGCAAGGAAGGCATCAGAGGCCACGTGGAGTCTTGCTCTTGCCCCTCGGAGCAGAGTCCCCGTGCAGAGAGCAGTGTCCCTGGAACACCAACCAGGAAAATCTCTGCCTCTGAATTTGATCGACCTCTTAGACCCATCGTTGTCAAGGATTCTGAGGGAACTCTGAGCTTCCTCTCTGACTCAGAAAAGAAGGAACAGATGCCTCTAACCCCGCCACGGTTTGATAATGATGAAGGGGACCAGTGCTCGAGACTCCTGGAATTAGTGAAAGATATCTCTAGCCACTTGGATGTCACAGCCTTATGTCACAAAATTTTCTTGCATATCCATGGCCTCATCTCCGCTGACCGCTATTCCCTGTTCCTCGTCTGTGAGGACAGCGCCAACGACAAGTTTCTTATTAGCCGCCTCTTTGACGTTGCAGAAGGTTCAACACTGGAAGAAGCTTCAAATAACTGTATCCGCTTAGAGTGGAATAAAGGCATCGTGGGACACGTGGCAGCTCTTGGTGAGCCCTTGAACATCAAAGATGCATATGAGGTAAATAAGAAACTGTGGGAACAGAGGCGGGGTGAGGGGTGGAACACAGGTGGGGCATTGGACAACTACTGTGAATCGTGGGGATATTTGACACTGAGATGTAATAATGTGTGTACTTACTTAAAATGGGAATATATGGCAAGAACTTTTCCATCTTTTAATTGTCAGAGTTTCTTCGCTAATGTCTGGGTCAAGGATAGAGGCCCGAGATAAGTCTTGTCCTGTTTTCCTCCTTAATGATAACTTAACATAGGTCATCTCATACTTGTATTCTTTCATCTTTTTACCTGATCACTCTGCATATCCCCTATCTATGTTATCTCCATGTGAACTTCTGGGAATTTACTAATATTCTAAAATGATAGGTCCAAAAGCCATCAGAAAACCAAACCCATAGTCTTTTAAAATTCATTCATTCAGTTAATCATTCATTCATTTGAACTCCCATTGACAGCAAAGTCTGATTTTCTTTCTTTCCACTCTTTCATTTGTTTTATTTTTATTTTTATTTTTTTTTGGGTAAATATAAGAAATATTTTATTTGTTTGCCTGTTTTTACATTTT